TTGAACGTCGTGCCGTAAACACCACCACACGCACAAGCACACGCAATGGAGAAGGAGAAACTCAAAAAAGAAAGTCTGTACGAAAATATTCCAAAAAAAAAAAACGTTTTTCACACCCCTCCCGGGGGGGGGGGGTGTACTCATAGTCGTGCATGCCGTAGTCGTTTGACCATTGACCTCGCATCCCTACAAAGCCGGGACGGAGCACGCCGGGTTCTCACCGGACCAGGCTCTCAAATCACCAAGCGCGAAGCGCCGTGAGGTATTTGGCGAGTCGCATGAAGGGTGAGCTGCATCCTGCTGAGGGTGTTCGGCATCTTGTGCTTACTTCCTTGCGTACGGATGACAGCTACGTATGACTTATTTATTTTCTGGTGCTTTCACTTCCAGAGACAGTTGTAAGCACTGTGTAACTGTCTCGAGGAAGCTTGACCATTTCAACACAACGTGGTGCGATCATCCCCCGTTGCGCGGAGTGAGGGTTCTCGACCCCGCACAACATGATCTACTCGACCACCATTATGGTTACCGCCAAAAAAAAAACCGAGGTAAAAAAATAAAAACGGTAACCTGGTTGTCGAGTTCACGAAGTGAATTGGCTTGTTTTACAACGTCGTTGCCAAGCGCCGGGGGGGGGGGGATAGGGTTAGGTGTCGGAAAAAAAAAATTGTGCGCCCTTGCAGTCACGCAAGATTTCACATTTTCCCACAACACCCAAGCAATGTGAAAAAGCCATAATTTCGCGTATGCACAAACATTTGAGTACGCGGCCGACGAGGGAAAGGAACGGTTCAATCCGTCTCGCGAATGAATACGATCAAGGCCAACAGTGCCGAAGGAAGGCAGACGGAAAAACTTCTGGGTGGCCTTCCGCCTGCGTGACCTCGGCTGGTGCGTCCAACATTGAACTTACCGAAAGATGACAGAACCGACGTCCGGAACTAATGGGATAATGACAACACTTGATGAACGTCATCAAAGTTATTTACTTCGGTGCGGTTTTTTCGTCATTTGGGTGGTCGCCATCTGTCCAAGTATCACACAGAGTGCAACGATGTACCGTAGTAGGCACGGTGTAATATCGTTATCTACCACGAGGTCTTTGGTCGCACAATCATCTACATTATAGTATTTTTTAGTGAAATAGCTCCATGGACTTCCATAAATCTTTTCGTGAGACTCCTTTCCCTTCCATAAAATTTTGCATGGAACTCCTTCGACTTCCATGAAATATTGGACTTCCATGGAACTCTTCATGAGGTATTTCATGGAAGTCCAAGGAGTTCCATGAAATGCCATGAAATGTTTCATGAAAGTCCAAGGAGTTTCATGAAATGTTCCATGGAGCTCCATGAACTTCCATGAAAATTTCCGCGGAAGTCCATGAAATGTTCCATATTTCGCTGCAATTACATTTATCTAAGGTTTTGACGCTGGCTCTTTTCTCAAACTTTAATCCAACATAATAAAGAAAGCAACCTTCCCGCAGAGTGTACCTGGTAATTAGTACTGTTATCAGTAGAGGATACCATGAAGAGACGTCGTGCGTGCTGGCACGTTCAGGTTTGCTACTGGAGCTGAAATATCGAAGGTCGCAGCAACCTCTGAAAACAGTCCGAACTCTGCGCCGGAACCTAGCGGCATCCAACATTTATAACAGCCGTGCACACCGCCACGGACCGTAAACCCCTCAACGGAGGGTTGTCCGCAGTAGCTTGTGGCATGAACTGCTGCTGTAAACGCACAGTTCAGGAGATTGGGGTCCGTGGCGGTGAGCACGGCTGTGACAAATGTTGGATGCCGCTAGGTTCCGGCGCAGATTTCGGACTGTTTTCAGAGACTGCTGCAACCTTCGATATTTCAGCTCCAGTAGCAAACCTAAACGTGTCAGCAGGCACGAAGCCTCTTCATGGTGTCCTCTACTGGTAACAGTACTAGTTACCAGGTACAGTCAACACAGACCTTATTTGAACGCCTGCCGTTTTGGCTCTTTTGACTTGGAATTAGAACAGGGCGAATTTTTATCTTGGTTTCAAAGGGGGCGTGCGGAGGTAGACGCGTGAAATGTATGTTTTTAGCAGCCTCTACTGTCGCCCTGTGCGGGATTTAACGATTTCTGCTTCTTGCGATGCGTTCCGACTGGTCTTGTGTGTCTGTTGTACAGTTTCTGGTGCTCTTGCACATGTTTTCAAAATTAGTCAACATCGAACTTGCTGTTCTGGGGGCCCTTAAGGAATAATAAAAACACACACAGAAAGACTTACCCAATCGAGATATCCCTACAGTCGAACGGGATGTGGTGGAGTCTTTTCAGTGAGTGGAGGGAGACCGGCTGGGTACTGGACATATTTCGAGTCTTTTTAAGTCAATACACTGATGATTTATACCAACAATTCACTGAAGACTCCACCACATCCCGTTCGACTGTGGGTATATCTCGAATGGGTAGTCTTTCTGCGTGTGTTTTTATTATTCCTTAATTCATTCATGACACCGTGTTACGTTCTACTGTACAAAACGTCATTTATCATACCGCTTCTTCTACGTATCATGGCATACAGCAATCATGCAGCTGCATCTACTCTACCGAAGTAATGCGCTGCATTTCAACACGCCCCCATGACGAATGAATGCAATCTTACGTGATCTTGAAAAACCTCATCGTTGTCCTAAACCATTTACAAGGAGTTAAGCCGTAGACGGTAGCATGCTCCTAGAGGTAGATGAAGGTTCCGTCCTTGAGACTCTTGTCCACGGCCACGTAGAGATGGGAGAGTTGCTTGTTATGGCGGAGAGACGACCAGCAAGGATCTGAGATGAAGTCGGGATCCAACTATATCTCAGGGGGCACACAGAGTAGAAATTTCTAAGGGGGCAGTATGGGTACAAGAAGGAATACCTCCTGACCATCCCACATCCTCTGAGCAATATGTACCCTATTCATGCTAGCAGCCACACTCCATGACAATCTACTGCACGAATTCTCTCAGTCTGTGTATGCATCCTCCTTGTGTGCTTCTGCATTATATACGCCCCCGTCAACCAGCATACGAATGAATTTGGTGTTCCAGAATTTAGAATTTCATGAAATATTCCATGGTGCTATTGAAACATTTCATGGGCGTTCATGGAACATTTCATGGATGGTAATGGGCTTTCATGAAACATTTCGAAAACTTTCATGGATGTTCATGAAATACTTGATAGACGTCCATGGCCTTTCATGAACATCCATGGGCGTTCATGAAATATTTCATGAAAGACTATGGGGCGTTCATGAAATATTTCATGAAAGACCATGGTGTGCGTCCATGAAAAGTTATTTAATGAACGTTCATGGGCGTTCATGAAACGTTTCATGAACGTTCACGGGCGTTCATGCAAGCATGTCACGAACGTCCATGAAATTTTCCCGTGAAATATTTTATGGCAAGGAGTGAAATCATTTCATTGCATGTTTCATGACAAAAATGTCATGGACACCCATGGAACTTTTTCACGGAATGGCGTGAAAATTTTCATGGAGTTCCAAGGATTTCCGTGGAAGGCCATAGAAGTTTCATGAAATTACATGGAAGCCCATGGAAGTTCCATGGAATTCCATGGATTTCCATGGTCTACCATGAAACGTTTCATGGACTTCCATGGAACCTTCCATGGAGGGCCATGGAAGTCCATGGAACGGTTCCATGGAAGTCGATGGAAGTCCAGTCCATGGACTTCCATGAAACTTTTGATGGAAAAGTACGAAAATGTACAAGCCCCCTGATCGCACAACGTCAAAACCTCAAACCATTGTCACCATTCACAGACATTTATTCCGTCAAGATTTTCGCCAAAAAAAACAGCCGACGAAGGGGTGCACACTGTTGCCCATCGAGGACGGTGGTGGAATGCTTGCATTCCGAAACAATACACGGAAACTCAAGCATACAAAGTGTTCGTGCTGAACTCTGCGCGAGAGTGAACAAGCAAAACTTTCCCTGAAGTCATTGCGGCAGGAAAAAGCAAAACTCCACACTGCCAGGCAGGCGCACTTGACTTGAAAAATGCAACCCCGCTATTATTCCATCGGGCATAATTGGTTGAGCAGTAGCGCGTTCCACTCTTCTACAACGCCAGTTTCCGACCAGTGCCTGCAGTCAGTAGCGTAGGAGGAGTGACAGTTGCCGCTTTCCGCTCCCGTCTGGTCCATGGTAGACGGCTGCAGCATGAGGAGGAAAACCGCAAACAACGACGGCACCGCACACGAGTACCACCGAGTAGTGGGTCGTTCTGCCTCTCACAGTAGTATTTTTTAAATGTAAATCAATGCCAACCACACTAGAAGTAAGCGCAAAGCAAAACTGTTCTGTCGCCGGCCCCGGCATAAAAAGTAGGTATAATCATCCCCCTCGCAGATCGGGCGTTTCACCCTTGCATGCGGCCTACAGCGCGTTTGTATCGCATTCTCCCCATGCCTCCCCGATAATTCGTCTACAGTCTCACGCCACCACATTGATTGTTGCAGACGACGGTGCCGTGTCGCACTTCAGTATCCGGTATCAAGCACGGTGCTGTGTGCACATGGATGATTGATACCGGATACAGATGGCATGGATTTTTGTGGCACGCGGTGAGGCGGTAAATCGTGTTTGGGAACAAAAAGCATGGGCCCTTCTTACCGGGGCGAGGTGGCACGTGTGGTGTGCGGCACCCCGTGAGACGGACATGTCGTAAATGCGCAGCAGCTTCACCCTGTCCGAGAGCCCGTTCTCTCGCAGGTAGTCCTCCACCCACTGTTGGCAAACGTTACGATTATTGTGGAGGAGAGAACATTAGGTGTTGTTCTTGTCACCGTCGCGAAACGTCGGGGATGCCAGCTATTTTCACTACAAAAACGTGGCTGCTGAACTGTTCAAGAGGCAAAGGGCGCTTGTGTCCAATCAATTTAAATTGCCGTCGGCATCGGACGTACATCCAGAGACTGGGTGATGAGGTCGGAATGCTTCATCACCTCCACGAGAGCGAGCGAGGTCATCATGGCTACCTCCGTACGCAACCGTTTGCGCGATCACCACGTAGGCACCCCGACAGCACTTCCGGGTGCTTTCACCGAGCGAACCGTTCGAAAATACCTTCCATCTCGAAATCGTTTCGGGCCTCCTTGACAAAGGAACGCGACCTCGATCAACCGCCCCCCTTCGCGGAATTGCTCACCGCATTTCTGTCCAAAACCTTAACCGGCGTTCCAGTGCAGCAGGCGGTGTTGCCAAGGTCTAGCTCGACGAAAGCCTCGTACGTGCCGTTTTCGGCGGGGAAGTGAGTGGGTGCTATCTCCCTGCAAAACGCGGGCGGCGCACCACCGCGATGCGCCAATTGGAACAACATCGGGGGTAGAGAAACACAATTTGTTAGCATCTTGAGAACTACCAACACAATTCGTCGCTCGTAGCGATGAGCGTTACACAAACTAGCACATGCGGAACAAGAGGTGGAGATATGAAGTTCGAAGCTATGCTGTCATGGGCTTGAGTAGTCGCTTCAAGCCGTGCCAAGCGAGTTTATCGACCACCAAATCAGCCAGTCATTGGAACGAGCTCTTATTTTGGGGGCTACTACTACTGCATTCAGGTTTTCAGTACCAGCACACAAGGAAGACTGCTACCGAGACAATGTTCCGCACCTACAGCTTTGAAATAACAATTCGTACCCGTTGCCGTCCCAACCATCTCAAATTCTCTGCAACTGAAGAGCCGTACAGCTCGTTCCAAAGATGGCCCGAGATTAGGTGCCGCTACCATCAAGCATGCCGTTTTGTTTCTCAAGTCAAAACCGGAAACTTCCTCCCGCTTGACCTTGAAACGCCCTGCGTTGTTGGGTACACGCGGTACCGAGCAGGAGCTGGATGGTTTGCACAGCAGACCTTCTGACCTTTGACCTTGAAAGCAGAACTCAACCGCTCATCCTGGTGTGGGCGAAGAGAACTGAGCCCCGGGTTCACTTCAACCAAGAGCACCTAGAGTAGTATTGGCAAAAAGCCTTCCCTGGTCTGCAAGAGTAAAACACACGGGCGGCTCTTCCTGTGCGTACCTCCAAACGACGGTGGCGGTTTCACCGATCTCGGCCATATCATCTAGGATAGAGGACACGTCTCGCTTGAAACTCTCCTCGCCCTCAGGGGTGCTGCGGTAGTGGGCGCCGAAGTTGACCACGACGACATCGGACGCTCTCGTCTCGTTGTAATCCCTCAAGGCTCTCCTGAGCCAGTGTTGGTCGTCCGCGGCAGACGTCATGCGCACGTGCACTGACGTTGTTTGATTAGCCTTGGTCGTTTCCCCCTCCTCCCCCTCCTTTTCCCCCTTTTTCACCCCCCCCCCCCCCTCCTCCTCCTCCTCCTCCAACCCTTCCTCCTCCTCCTCGCCCTCCTCGCCCTCCTCGCCCTCCTCGCCCTCATCGCCCTCCTCCTCCTCTAACCCGTCCACCTCCTTCTCATCCTCCTGGCCTTCTCCCTCCAAGCCCTCCACCTCCTCTATCCCCCCCTCGTCCCCTTCCAAGGAGCGCCTTTTGTTTCGCCTGTCGTGGTTGCCTCCGGTCGATGCAGACGCCCGGTCCTTGGTAGTAGACACGTGGCCCTCGAGGAAAGGCTGGTACGGTCCAACGTTCGTTCGTCGTGGTGTAGGTGGAACAAGACCATGGGGGGGACAACAAATGGCGTGCAAGATTCATTGGGTTGGCGCGAGACACAGGTAGGGACGAGGAGGTTATGGAGGTCATGGGTAGAAGGCAGAACGTGGCGAGATTTGAAGAAAACAACAACAACAACAGTATCGACAAAATAGCTGTGCATCCGAAGCATGAATCAAAAACGATTGTTCACGAGTACTTTTGATTTGTGACCCATGATGTTCATGGGAGACCCGGAGAATATCGCAGAAGGGAGAACCTCACCCGGCCACAGAATGCTTTGTCTTTGTAGGGTACAAACGCATCTGAACAGTGTCCAAGGGTATTAACGCGGACACACGCACCGACAGCACCGGGGTACGGAAGCTCCAAACGGCGACGAACCACTCGATGTACAGAAAAAATAGGTCGAGGGGAGTGAGTACAAGTGCCAAATAAGGTACAAAGGGGAGGACTCCCTCGAAGGAGACAGTGAGCGAAAACGGCAGAAACAAAACACACACAAGTAGACTGTTGCATGTAATCCGACGTTGTCGCACGGCCAGAAGAAATGCTAGAGGTACGCCGTCATGTTTCGTCACATGTGGTTGAGGGATTTGGCGAGGCAACGAGTTGAAAGCGCGGGGACATAGGCCAAATTTACGGCACAAGAAGATGTTTCTTCGTTTTTCTTAGTTCACGGAAGCAGTGCTAAAACCTTGCTTCTTACGCGCCAGACGTCGACATAGCATGCGCAACAGCAGTAGCGGCCTTAACGCCAAAGCCACACAGCATTGCCATATTTCCGACGGGCAACGCCGTCAGCGTTCCGCTTCAAGAATTCCCGCCCCATTCAAGAACGACGTTGCGCCTGAACGTCAGTAACCGAAAAGAAACTAGTCTTCGAACACCGCGTCTTAGACATCGTTCAATTTTTCGCCCGCGCGGTTTCACAAAGAAGCCAGGCCTGGCTCTGCGGACACGCGTTCCTTCCGGTTCCAAATGATCTAACCGGTGTCACACGCATGCCATGTATTCCGTGTGCATGTCCAACGGACTCACTTTTCCAGGTCTCCGGTAATTTCCCTCTGAGGGGAAGTCGGTCTCGTAGACGTCGTAGCACCTCTCGATGCCCGTGATTGAACCCCCCGGCGGGTGCCAGCAGTCCACCAGGGTAAAGTAGGACGTTCCGTCCTCTCTTACAGCCTGCTCTGAGCGAGAAACCAGTGGGTAGAAAACGAGAGGTGACGTGGTGGAAGGAAAAATGCATTCTACCAAATGCACTCAAAGCCCCACAGAAGTTGGACAACCCAGTACAGAGAAAAGGTCGAAAAGTCTTTCCGGAGGTGTCTCAGATGAAACAATCCAGGTTCAGAGGCTCCTCGAAACATGAAAGGACATGGGAGGACATGAGAGAGAGAGATAGAGAGAGAATTGAATTACCCCTAAAAGCGCTAGGTCATCCGACCCACCGATGTCGACAAAACCGGCAGAAAAGCTCAGAGCCTCTGTCAACCAACCAAAGTGTCACCTTTGGGCACGTGCGACGCACGATATGGTATCTCGGGTGTTGCCCTTCCTTGAGCACAATGTAGCTTTATCCACTGCGTCTTGCCCTACCAACTCGATGTGCACAATTTCCACCAACACACGCACCAGCTTGTTGTTTCTGGGCCCCCCGCGCGGCATCCATTCAGGGTGCCAGCCCAACATACCAACCAGAGAGTCCCCCTGCTGGTTGGACATAGAGTCCCCCAGAAAGATGACTCGTCGCCCTCGTAAGCACTATTAAATATTAATAGCGGCACCAACAAAAGGTACAAAGAGGGAGAAGCATGGACAAGGGGAAAGGTTGTGGCACCTGGGGTTGGGGGAGAAGCTGTGTTTTGCAGATGTTTGGCAGGTAGCGACACATACTGTACAGGTGTCCGCGGAGAAATCTGTATGACGAAGACGAACCTCATGAGAGCAAGAACCAAAGGCAATGGCGCAGAAGACTAGGACGTGGAGGCGGGAAGGGGTTGAGGTACATGGAGCAAGAGCTGTCGCCCGCAGCTTGCTCATAGTTTGTTCAAATTCATCCATCATTTCTACCTTCAAGCGCAAACCTTTACCTACCCTGGGCAAAACACTTCTCTCCCGCCCAAGCCACTACACTGGCAGTCTCTCTTGCCCGCACGAACGCGCGCTGTGTCGCGGTTACATCCGTTTTTCGCAACCTACCGAAACCTTCACGTCAACATCTGGAAGCCAAAATATCATTATCTGGGAACCAAAATATCAAGTGGATTTTCTGTTATCCGGCAGCACTACTTCCACGTTTTCGTGATCGACGGACACCGACCGCAATAGCCCACCTCTCGGACGTCGGCGGGGTAGAAAAACCGCTTGGCCAAGCAGGGAGAGTCGAAGTAGTAGTTGGCCGCCATGAAAGATGCTGCCAGGTCGTTCCCGTTGCGGCGGATTAGTCTACAAGCTATGTAGAAGTACACATAAGGATAACGACGGCTGGAGGATGTGGAGAGATTGTGGTCCGCGCGGCGGTGTGTGTAAGTACGCATCTAGCTGACGCTAAGGGGGGGGGGAGGATATCAGAAGTATTCACGGACGCGTGGGTGAGCGTTCATGTGCTTATCCTACTGTGCTTGGAGGCCTCGTTTTACCAAATTCGTTTCGTGAGATGGCGTTCATAAGATTTGCGGGATGACAATGGCGTGTGGAGGCGACTCAAGTTACCAGGAGCGTGGGAAACAAATGGATACCGGTATAGGGGTATGGAGCGCGGGAATATGAGCAAGCTTCGAAGCAGGCAAGGTACACGGCAGGGTATACATCATGAAGTGAGATCGTTCTGATGGGCGAACGAACGACATAGAACGCGAGGCTCGGGAATGGCGCAAAGCGCGTTCAGTAAGCTACACAGATGATACAACAACGTGGATAACAACAAGTGCGCTCCGTTCTCTGCTCTTTCACCGCGGGAGGAGGTGTAGGCTCTTTGACTCCAGTACCTCAGCTGCTGATTCCGCCGATCGTCTTTGACTTCAACCGGGGGTGACATCATGTTCGTCTTGAGAAATCATACCCAGGCGGAGATTTCAAGGACAGGGAGGGAATTGGGTTCTTCGAAACCCGGGTGGCTAATAACTTACAGTAGCTGCTGTTGTGCCGATCAAAGGTAGCACCAACAACGCATCTCGCGTTCAGGCATGGGTCCGTGGAGACAGGGCTCATTGCAGCAAAAACAAGTAAACAACAGCCCAGCTTGCGTGATTTCGGGTTGATACTCTGTGCCCATCGTGTCCCTTGCTAAGTCCTGTATCGAGTAGCTCGATGTCGTCAACACCCGTTTCATTTGCTTTTCAAGAGAGATAGGGAGAAGGAGGTAACGGATACACGTCAGAGTAAAGCTAATTGTACAGACCAAAGCAATATTATCAGCGACATCAACAATCCGGTGCCCAATATAAGGAGACACACGGCTCAAGAACTCTCTGCCTGTCTGCCTGTCTCTCTCTCTCTCTCGGTCTCTCTCTTTCTGCCTGTGTGTCTGTTCCTCTCTCTGTATGCACGTGTGGCTTCTCGCTCACCATCTTCACTGGTGGCGCACGTGTACCCCCGTTCGTATTCGGCGCGCATCCTCATGGCCGGAATGGCTTCCGTCGCTTCCTTCCACTCGTCCTGCGGCGAGATGGAGCACTCCTTCCACCCCCAGGCCGTCGGGCTAGCCACCGTCAGCAAGGTCAACACCAGCACGAGCTCGGTTCTGGCGCGAGAGAGAAGAAGGCGCGCCGCCCACCCTCGAACCTTCCGTATCTACAGATGATACGGCATGGTTGGGACACATGGTCAACTCGAGGTGGCTGGTTTGTGCGTTTCGCGCTTGCCATTCGCTGCCTGGCATGAACGCTTCAATCCGTTCCTACTCCCGGAGCGATTGACCTTGTGTGTTTTGTCCAAGATAGAAAGTAAAGCTTTCTGTTCAGCGCTTCTCTGCGCGACGGGATTGGTGGTGGCGCCTTGAGATACCAGTTTCTGGAGTGGAGTGCGACAACGTCGGCGGTTGGATATCACATTCGTCCTGCTTGTCAACGTCCACAATCCTTTCGGCCATAATTTTGTATTGTACGCTATACTTGCGTTTGAAGGACTGCTAAGACCTGGACTATCAAAGCCGCTTCGAAAATTCATTGACATGATTTTCATGTGTTTTCATGTGGAGATTTATTGCAACGTCCCCACAGTAGTTCAATCGCGATGAGGGCGCGTGTCCGCGACGAGCCCCGCCAGGGCTCGTCCACCCCAGGTAAACAAAGTACTACACTCAAAGCGTGAAGTTCGTTTTTTGTTTCGTGGTGAGATTGGGCGGTGCTGGGGCATCCTGCGTACGCAGCAGCGGGAAGCAGCTGAGGAAGGGGAACAGGAGAGCCTCAAACGGAATAAAATACATCTACGCACCCCGCGCGATATCAACGATAAAAATCCTGTTTAGGACGTGAATTTCCGTGCGTCCGCAACCTAGCGGTACTCCGGGCCACGTGTCGAACTGTAGGTAGTGATGCGGCAGGTACCATTTGGGGCGCCATTCCTTTGATTTATGTAATGTACCGTCGAGATGTGCGCGTAGAAGTGATCAAGAGTTTTCTTATAGGTATTCCGTACAACATCGAATGCACTCACTCACTCAAACAAGGACACAGCACACATCCCGCACCTCCAACCAACCGAACAAGAAGGAGTCGAAAACGGTACTACCATGCCCCTGGGGGCAAACAACGACAGAGGGGAGCATCAGCCAACAAATGGGGCCTTGCGACCAAGAAAGAGGTCGTTGGAAGAAAAACCTTACCGTTCCGTACACCTTTCCCAGGAGGGAACCACAGCGTCTGTTGCCTTTGGCACATGCTACCCCAAACTCGCATCAGCAGCTTCACGCACGATCACGGTACTTTTTCCAGAAACGTCTATGTTCGTTTCTTGAGTATCACACCTCTATCGGTGTCATCGCACCGGGGTGCGTTCACTCAACACCGAAAATGGCCAGTGTGACTTCTTCCGTATCGCAACCATCGGTGTCATCGCTCCGGGGGTGGGCGCGTTGGATTTTTGTTTCCGCACGGGTATCGGTGTTACGGCACCCATCGGTGATGTAGGCACCGATCGGTGTTGTGGCACACCGGGGTGAGATAAAAAACCAAGATAGGAATGTTTCAAAAACGATCGCACCCCGGTGCCATAACACGCATAATGACGGTATCGTCCGTCCAACCCGGCAAAGAGAGAGCGAGAGAGAGAGAATGAATGAGGTTTGCCTCAGCGCCTCATCACGAAAGAAACCACGCACATACAAGATTGAAATTCCACACGAAAGGTCACCTCTGCCAAGAGTCAGAACCACAAAGACACCCCCGAAAAACTCCAAGAGGCCCAGCAATGTGGAGACAAATGCCGACACTCTCGTTGACCGCAACAGACATCCGTAGCTCCGGTGTGACACCTCCAAGGGGTGGAATCACTCGCAGTTTTTGGGTCTCCCAAGTCTATGGACTGCTTGCAGTTACAGTAGGCTGGGCGGAGACAACCCTATGAGATAGGCCACGTAGCAGTTATGTCTGTCTCCGCGCGGCCTTAGTTGCGCTACTTCGCTGCCCTGCGGACACATCCTTTTCTTGCGGTCTGCCAGATGAGACTACAGGCCATTTGCTCTGATATCCACGACGGCAGTAGTCAGAGTTATGTGTGTACCCATCATCGCCCGCCCAAGTCCATGCTGGTCCTCCGAAACATGCTACATGCATACATTCAACACCAAGTTAGTACGTGGTTTGTACCGCCGCACTTGTCGGCTTCCCTTGTGTCTAAAATTGCAAGTTGCCACATGCCATACGGACGAAACGCCACATGGCTGAAATGCCAGCTCGGAAATGCGAAGGTTTGGTACAGTCTGCGACCTCTGCAACCTGGCGGGTTAAGGTATTGAGTAACCTTGCTGTCTACATTCTTATCTCGAACATTGTTACCCGGCATCGAGGCTGCCACATTAAGATTATCCCCTTCTTTCAATGGGCCCACTACATTACGTTCATCATGGTGTGTCGAGAGTCGAGAGGACATGTAGTCTAGCAGGAGCATGGGGTGATCGGAATTAGAGCCAGCGTTTGTCACCAGAAATTTTAAATTCGCAACTAACTTTTAAAGATGTGAGCATCTTGCTCACCGCCCTCTTTGCGCGTTTGTGATTCAACAATAGATGCGCCACGATACCACCCCACAGCAGCGAGCACTTTGGTATCAACCCTCTCACCATCGAGATATTCCCTCCCAGCAGGGAGGTCTGATGCTTGCGTGCCACACTTCGTACGGCCTGCGATCGGAAATGCGATGCGGGCTGATGACGGCCTGTTCTGGCAGATCCCCGGGCTCTCGTATCCTCCGCGGTGCCGGCATCGCATGTCCCCGTTGGGCACATGCGACAGCCTCAGCGTGTATGAAGAAGTCGGCCAGTTGGGGATACAGGGTATGTGTCCGAAGAGAGTAAGGCGCACAGAGTATCTGCTTATGCTTTGTACGCAACAGCGACGTCCGTGTGTTGCCGCTAAATCTGTAGGTCAAGCGTAGAGGCGGGTTATTAACGGCCATTTTTTTTAAACGGGGGTATCTTCCCACTGAAGTCACGGAGCCCCTTGATCTTTTTTAATTGCTTCGCGCGACCGGAGCTCTCGTTTGAGCACCACAGCGTGGCACGCCGAGCATTCCACCCCGAGATACAGCCGAGGGAGCCACCGCAGCTCCTGCTTCTAGCCACCTTAGTCGTTTTCTTGGGGTTCTTGCTAAGCATGATCCGGCGGAAGGTGGACGAGGAGCAGGTTCGAAAGGCCTGTGCAGCGATAGATGATGGCATGTCGGTTAGGAAGGCTGCTGAGGTCTTCGGGGTAGGTCGTACGTCCATCGCAGACCGCCGCCGTGGCAAGGTGGCCATGAACACGAAGGTTGGTCCCGAGACCATCCTGAGCAAAGAAGAGGAGGATTCGCTGGAACATATTCTGCTGTTTGCTGCTCGCAACTTATTGGCTGTGGATCGGGTTCACCTCAGAGATGCGGTGCGACGACTATCCATTGGGATCCAGAGAAGGGTCGGGGAAAGATTGGCTTGCGGGCTTTCTTCGTAGGCACCTACGGGTGGCGGAGCGCTCGACCCGCATCTACGAGGCAAACAGGATCACCGAAGACGAGGAGCCTCGCATGGTGCAGTTCTACGAGAGATGGACACAGCTCTCGTCGAAGAGGTCAAACCGGAGGCCAACCACGTGCACAACACGGACGAGACAGGTGAAGATGGCTCGGAGACTAGTCTAGACTACAGCAGTAGATGCGTGGCAGCAGTAACTGCACGGGTGACTGCTGTGCAAAGACCACGAAACATGTCACACGAAAAATATCAGGCAGAGTTCTGCTCCCTTGCGGCGGAATTTTGGCCTCCTCATGTACTGCTGTAGTGTAGTCTACAGAGGCCGTGCTCCCGTATTCCTGTTTAAAAAAGCCGAAATTGTCGCTGGTTCTGGTGTAGAGTAGGCTACAAGTAGTAGTTCCAGACACAAAAGTAGAGTACAGCACTTGTTCCAGACAATGTACTGCTGTAGACTATGGTAGTCTAGAATTCACTATTTTCAGAGCTGCATCGCATCGTCTTCAGCTGGTAGTTCGAGGGAACCGGCGGCGACGAACGTGTAACTAAGTCTAGGGGGGCGATGTCGAGTAGATGCATGTGCCAACACGGGAAAAAAACTAGACTAGTCGACAGCAGTAGAATCTAGTCAAGCACCCAGCACCCTGTTGTTGCTCTCCCGGTTGCCTCGTCCAGCTACCGCCAAAATGACGGTAGACTGCGTACAGGTTGAAAGCGCTCGCCGCACGAAAATAAATGAAAAGAGCCACCGCGTGTCCCCCCCCCGTCCACCCCCGTTGCTTGGCGCGCACGATATTGATTGCAAGTGTTTGGGTGCGTGCGTACACTACCGCTGGTAGTTTTGACTATCCATTAGACTAGCCCATTAGACTAGCCTATCGCCCCCCCCCCCTACCGACCCTCACCTACGCGTTCTTCCCGTTGCAGGTACCACCCCGCAAGGAACCAAGACGACGAAGGCGTTTGCGGAATCAGGGCAGAAAGTGGTTGGTTCGATGCGCTCCAACTCGCGAGAGAACACCACCGTGGTCGCTGCCATCAGCGCTGATGGTCACACCTGGGCACCAACCATTATCTTCAAAGGGCAACGACTTCAGGCCGATTGGTTTGTAGAGCGAAACGGCCCGGAGGGTGCGAGGTACACCTGTACGGATTCTTGCAGCGAAACGTATTCATCGCCTACTTGAAGGATTTCCACAAGCAGCTCGGCGACCGAGGGTTGCTCGACGGAAAACCCCACATACTCTTGCTCGATGGACATGCATCACACGTGAGCGTGGAGGTAGTCAGGCTGGCCATGAATCTCAAAATCATCTTGTTCCAGCTACCCTCCCGCACGTCGCACATCACCCAGCCCTTGGATGTCGTCGCCTTCGGACGCTTTAAGAAATCGGTGGCCAGAGTGTTGGCGTGCTTCTACCACAACTCCGGCGGGTTGTTGCCGCTGAAACGCGACATGCCCGGCGTGATCGCGGATGCTTGGAAAGTGAGCTTTACACCGGAGATGAATAAGTCATCATTCGCTGGGGCGGGCCTGTGGCCTGTGAACATGGAGGGCCGGCTGAAGGGGACAGCGAAGAAGAAAGAGCGGCGAGACGAGCGCCCACCCCTACAGGATGTCCCCATTGCCGCCCCCAACGAGCAGCTGGGAAACCGACATCGGAGAAAGGACCCTCAGGGTGCTGAGGGGGCAAGGGCACACCGTCACGGGAATCCGAGTAGGCACGGTGTTACTCGGTGGCCTCTTGACTCAAAGGAAGCGCGCGAAGAAGATGGCGACCTCACGGGGCTCGCTTTGGCCTTCCCGACCGAGGCAACATCACCGC